TACTGAGTGCCCGACCTACAATCCACATTATTGGGAAATTATTAATCAGAAAGTGTATTTGTACATTTCTTTTCTGTATTTACTGAATAAGGCATCTTATTCTTCTGAACATTTTATCTTTCGTTTTGTGTATTTGTGTATATACCTTTTGAATAATACAGTGGAGATACTGTTATGTATATTTTATTCAAACCTCGATTAACCCAAACCTAAAGGATCATAAAAGAAAAGGGGTGAACGTGACCATCTAAGAAAATCAAAAATTTATACCAGACCCCGGACATATATATATATATATATATATATATATATATATATATATATATATATATATATATATATATATATATATATACATATATATACATATATACATATATACATATATATATATATGTGTGTGTGTGTGTGTGTGTATTTATATTTATATATATATATATATATATATATTTATATATATATATATATATATATATATATATATATATATATATATATATATATATTATATATATATATATATATATATATATATATATATATGTATATATATATATATAGAGAGAGAGAGAGAGAGGGAGAGCACACACACACACACACATACACACATATATAAATAGATAGAGAGAGAGAGAGAAAGAAAGGAAAAAGGTTTACATTGTAATTCTTATCATTGTATTATCAGTGGGTAATATAACAAACGTTTATGTACACCTTTGTAATTACCTGTTGCATATATATATATATATATATATATATATATATATATATATATATATATATATATATATATATATATATATATATATATATATATATAAGTTTTTTTAAATGGCAAGTAACAGTGCAGACGTAAATCAAAACATAGAAAATACCACACTCAAAGGGTTAGACAGACGGAGAAAGTAAAAATCGTCCACTATACCAATACAAATCAGGAGACGTAATATTAAACCAAGCAGATAAAGGAAAAGACCTTGCAATAATCATAAACAGGAACCAGCAGGATTGCCAACATGGAGAAGGCATTCGGGTATGTGGATGAAGATATGGTAAAGATCATTACAGCCATCATGAGACCTAGTCCTGAGTTTGGTGCAGTGGTATGGAGTCCACACTTAAAAAGGATATGGATAAACTAGAAAGCGTTCAAAGAGCAGACACAACATGAGCACCTACTCTAAGAAATATGAACTACGAAGAGAGACTACAGAAAATGTCTTACTATTTTGGAATAAAGAGGAAAAAGAGGTAATATGATAAGGATGTACAGGAAGGGTGAAGTTAGACAAAAATGACTATAATTTGGAACACAAGAAAAGCGAGAAGACACAGTAAAAAGTTGAAAGTAAAAAGAGGCAAAAAAGATTCAGTTCAGTTTCCCAAACAGAACTACTGAAACATGGATCAATCTTCCAATTTATATATATATATATATATATATATATATATATATATATATATATATATATATATATATATATATATATAATATATGTGTGTGTGATAAGATAAGATAAGATTTTCAATGTAATGAATATTATCACCAAGAATTCATTATCTAGCAACACTTATCAGTGAGAGAGAACAATGGGGAACAAAAGGAAAAGGACCCTTTTGGAAGAGGTTTATTGAAAATGACTTTGTCAAACTCAGGAAAGACCACAGTCGTATTGATACATCGTTCAGAGGAAACTGGATAAATTGTAAACATGAAAAGTTTGATCTGAAAAAGAAATATAGCTTGTCATGAGGCAGAGAATCACTGCTAAGAAGAAAAAAATAAAAGAGTCATCTCAAGAACTAGTCAGTATCAACAGAAGAGATTATTAAAAAATAATCAGGTGTTGTACGAAGAACTTGGTGGGAAGATGAAAAGAGAACGAGTAATGCCTCATGCAGAGGCACTGCACTCCAATTCAGCATAATGAAAGTGCAGAATGGCTAAAGCAAGTTGAACAGGAAATGAAACGGGTGCAAAAATACAGTGACATAAGTATCACTAAGGAGGATGTAACATAAGGAAAATGCCCAACTGGAGGTCCCCTGGTCTGGATGGAATCCTAGGTTTTTGGCTGAAAAGCCTCATTAGCCTGCATTAAATGATAGCCTGGGAACTTAATGTTTGGTGACTGGAAAGGTACCCTCTTGGATGGCTGAGAGCAGGAGTGTATTGATTCAAAAAGATCCAAACAAAAGCAATACGTTTGGAAACTACCGTCCAATCGCATGTCTTAACTTACTGCGGAAGCTCTTTATCGCAATAATCTCTGATAAATTGTATGTACATCTAAATGATAAGGATCTGCCGCCAGAGGAACAAAATGACTGTAGAAAATGATCCCGTGGAAGAAAAGATCAGTTAATTATTGACGAGGCGGTAAGTCGCAACTGTAAAAGGCGTAAGAATATCTTAAGCATGGCCTGGGTTGATTTTCGGAAGGCCTATGATATGGGGACACATAGGTGGATGTTGAAATCCTTAGAGTTTATCAGGGCTCCCAGGAATGTTACAGAAGATTTTAAGACAAACCTGTTTTCATGAAGGTCATCACTTGGGGCAGTCAACTTTAACAGGGGTGAACCGTATTCATGTTGACAAATGTAGAAACGGTATGAATGAGAATTAATATCTTCACAATAAAAGAGATGTATTTGCCCGGTTTCGATCACATCTTCGTTAGAAATACATGGAATACATATATTTCTGACGAAGATACAATCGTGGCAAAAGTAAAGTATGGTGCAGGTGTGATTAACAGGACCATGGAAGACTTAGAAAGAATGGACTAAAAAAAACCAGAAAGTTATTAGCAATGCATGGCGGCTTTCATCACCGATCAAATGTTGGAAGGCTTTATATCCTAGAAATTTAGGAGGTAGAGGTGGTCTCACAAGTGTTCAAGATTGTGTAGAGGAAGAAGTTCTAAGTATTGGCAAGTACATCATCGAAAGCCCTGAGAAACTACTTAAAGTTGCAAAAGAAAAATTTTAATTTGTGAAATGACTAACAACGGTGCTGGTCAGGGAAAGAAAGAAGGATAGACAAAGGCAGTGGAAGGAAAAGAAACAGGAAAAGAACAGGAAAAGACGGGACTGGTTAAGAGAAGGCGAGTTATAACGAGGAACGGAAAGTTTGATTTGTGCTGCACAAGAGCAGGTCCTAAGGACTAACTCGGTAGCATATAGGATGGACAAAACAAGTACCACACCTTTATGCACACACACACACCTTGCAAAGAATCAGTATCGAAATGACATATCAAGTTAGGTAAGAAAATACATTGGTTGCTCTGCAAAAAGTTCTTAACAGACTGCAATGAGAAATGGTTCTTAGAGCGAAAGATTTAAGCTCCTGTGGGATTTCACAGTACAAACTAGAACACCGGAGGCCTGATAATGTCACTGTGCGTAAGGAGAAAAGAGAATGCATTACCATTGTCTTTGCGGTACCAGGAGATCAAAACATTACCATCAAAGAGCAAGAAAAGATCACGAAATACCAAGACCTGTGTAGAGAGATTAATAAATGTTAAAGCAGTTGTAGTATCAATAGTGGTAGGTGCACTGAGAACAGTTTCCAGAGAGCTGGAAAAAAACATCTAAAACGAATAGACATTCCTCCTGTTGTCCCATGTTTGCAATAGGCAGTGTTATTAGGTACACCTTTATCTTGAGGAGAGTACTTGGCATCTCAGGGTTCAGGTAGAACTCTGATGTCGAGTGAAATTCCCATCAATTTCCCAGTAATAATGATAATAATGACAATAACAATAGTAATAATTAATATAATCAAACATCGGTAAGGACTCCCCTCCCCCTCATAACCTTCATTACAAATTATTTGTAGTTTTCTTGTTACTAAATTTGTAAGCCGTGAGTGCCTTATGATTTTACATTCACCGGTGACCTTATAATCTCTCTGCATATAATTCTGTGACCTTCATTCATTATCATTTGGGTGCTAACGCCGGTAGGGGCGCATAGCCGCATTCACCCTTCGCTTCCACCTACGAGGGTCCCTCATGGCGAGCCGCCAGGCAGAGGCCGGCCCATCTCTAACTCCTCACGACAGGTTTGATCGATCGGCCCAAGCCACTTTCTTGGTCGTCCCACAGGCCTCCTCCACCCAGGGTTGTCTCAGACAGAGACAACTTGGTGTGCAGGGTCATCCTGCGGGAATCGAGCCAAGTGGCCGTATAGCCTGAGTTGGCGATCGCGGATTGTGCAAGTAACAGGTCCTGTACCGGTCTCACGGTGCAACCGTTGGTTGGACACATGGTCCCGCCAACTGTACCCCATGATCTCGCGCAAGGATCTGTTACAAAAGGCATCAAGACGAGATTCCAAGGCACAAGATAGCATCCAGGTTTCACTACCATATAGTAAAACTGGCAATATAAGGGCCTTAAAGAAACGTAGCTTGGTCCTTCTGCACAGGTACCGGCATCACTAAATACTCTTGTCGAGAGATTTCATGACCCCTGTTGCCAGGCCAATCCGTCTACTGACTTCCTGATCTGACAGCCCAGAGGTATATAAAACTCTCTGTAACTTCGATGTTTTCACCGCAAGCACGTACCAACAGCACAGGGTCTCCTAGTAGGCACCCAAAATCCTGGATCTTGGTCTTGGTCCAGAAGACCTCTAGCCCCAGGGGCTTCTCTTCATTGCTAAATGCATCAAGAGCCGCCACTAGGGTTTCCAGAGATTCAGATAGAATGGCAACATCAGCAAAGTCAAGGTCTGTAACCTTAATATTGTCTAGAGTTGCTCCACAGTGACTTTGGACAGTAGCTCTACTCAGTATCCAGTCCACGCAAGTGTTGAAAAGTGTTGGTGCATGAACAAGGCCGGGCCATAGCCGAAGGCCCGGGCGAAGCTAGAACTTCGCAAATCGCAATCGTTGTGCATGAACACAGCTTTGCCTCACACCTGAACTAACAGGGAAGAACCTCGACAGGCCCCCACCACACTTTACAGCACTTCCAGTGCCTGTA